CACTGAACAAAGCAGGCCTGGAGCCCGAGAGCCCCTTGGCCTGGCTGAATAAGCCCAGGAAAACTGTTTGAGACCTGAGGGTGAAGAGGGTTTGCCATGTAGACAAGCAGAGGAACAGCAGGTGTAAAGGCGTGCAAGCTTGGGAACTGCAAGTAGGTCATTAATGCTGCCGTGGAAAATGCGAGTGGGCAGTGTGGAAGGTGAGGCCGGACCAGTGGACATGGGCCAGATCTCACAAGTCCTGGGGTGCCGTGCTAAGAAGCTCCGACGTGGGACCATGCTGGGGCTGCAGACCTTTGAGCAGATTGAATGTGACCCAGTTTGCGTTTAAGCAAGATGATTTTGGCTGCAGGAGGGGCGACTGAGGCACAGAGTTTAGAGAGGAGGTGGTAAGTCTGAACTAAGCCAGCGGCAGTGAGAATGGAAGAAACATCAGTGGGAATTATATAATAGGGCATGGTGATTAATGAAATGAAGAGGGATGAAGAGCCAGGGATGACTTCCAGATTCCTGACCCGGTCCACTGAGTGCATAAAGCCATTCACTGTCATGGGAAATACTGGGAAACAGGTTTGTGCACAATATAAGCTCTAAATGTAAATGGTGAATTTGTGCTACTTGGGGGTATATCCAGGGGGCAGTTGTTTTCCACACTCGGGAGTTGAGACAGGTCCGGGTGAGAAAGATATGTAACTTGTCTGTATAGAGGGCCCTTAAAGTCCTGAGTGTCGTTGAGGTCCTTTGGGGAAATGCAAAGAGCAGAGAAGGACCCCAAAGCAAGTGACAACTACTCACAGCCCCTGCACTCCTGCAGTGGGGGAGCCAAATGTTGAAGAAAGCCTCATAATACAAAGCAGAATGTACTCTGGCTGTACTTTAGTGAGGGATGGTGGAAGAATTCTGGGCCCCAGAACAGGGAGAGGGTTAGGCTAACTTGGAGAAGCCAAGCTTCCTCCTGGTAATTCGGCTTTCAAGGAGAAAGGGAGACTTGAGCCGCAGTTATAAGATTTTACCACAAGGTGGAGCCTAAGCATCTCCTTGTGCCAGATTTCCCCCTCGCTGCGCTCAGCCAGGCCCAGAGCAGAACGTTATGAAAGGCTGGGGGGAGGGTGGCTGTGTCAACAAGGAAGGAGGCAGGCCAGAGTTTTTCCTTACATAAATGTCCAAATGCAGGCTCACTTTTTGAAAACAGAGGGAACATTTTAAGCCTGGGGAAAGAGCAATATGTTAAATATGCCACATGGGAGTCTATATGTTTGGATGTGTGTACCTGTATGTCAACATATTTGTATGTCCTTTATTCCCATGTTGTATGTTTCCCATGAGTGTCTCTGTGCACGTTGTGTGTCCCATCTGCCTAGGGGTGTCTGCTTGTGTGCCCCAGGCATCCACATGCATGCATGTGTCTCAGAGAGTGAGCAGTGCCTTGGCCCTGAAAGAGTCTGCAGCCATAGGACCCTTAAGTTTTTGAGAGCCCCCAAATTAGCACCAGACAATGGAGAACATCCCTCTCCCCAGTAGCCATAAGCGAAATCATTTATAATCTTCAGACTATAGCTGGGTTCTATGTCCGGCTATCCAGGGTCATGCTCACATGGAAGCCTCCTATAGGAACACTCAGTAGACCAAGAGATTCACAAACTCATCTATTCATTCCTCTATCATTTCTTTAAAAACATTCATTGAGCACCTGCCGCACACCAAACCCAGCGCAGGACATGTTTTCTGTTTCTCCTTTCACCTTGTGAAGTAGTTCATAAGGCAGGAAAGGAAAATAAGTTGCAGCTGTCTGGAAAGCTGGGCAGAGTGTTTAAACTTTTTTCCCTGGCAATAGGCCATGGGGAGCCCCAGCAGAGTTTTCAGTAGGGCGGCTGCACGGTCTAGTCACTCTTGCTGCTAAATGAAATTGGAATTGGATCAGACAAGATCTGGATGCAGGCAGCAGACCGGTTACTGGGTCTGCAATGGTCTAGGCAGTGGTTCTCAGACTTCACTGTGCTTCTGAGTCACCGTATAGGCTGATTAAAACACAGGTTGCCAGGCCGCACCCCCAGAATTACATTTGCGGAGGGACCCAAGAACTGGCACTTCTGACACATTCCCAGGTCATGTAGATGATGCTGGCCCAGAGACCACCCCTTGAGAACTACTGGTCTACGAGACAGCGTATGGTAGCTTACAGTGCTGACGGAGGGAGAGAGAGAGATGTTTAAGGGTCTGAAATGACAACACACCATGAGGAGTAGCTTAGGTGGCGGTGGGGGCAGGGGGGTGGAATTCAGTCTGGGATGATTCTCTTTTTAATTCAAAGGATGGTGGTGCCATTTATGAAAGTAGAGAACTCAGGAGGATAAGCAGGTAAGGGCTGCTGGGGGAGGGAGGAGGTGCTGCGTTCAGTTTTGGACCTGGCAAGTTTCAGACGGCAGCAGTGAGATGTCTGGAGGGAACACCCTACTGTCCGCTGCCATCTGTTGGCCTGGATTTCTAGTGAGAGATACAGACTGGAGATAACAAGGCTGGGAGATAGTCATTAAAGTTTTGAGAGGGGATGGACTCACTCATGACAATTGTAGATAGCAAGGCAGAAGCTTCAATTCTGAGGATAAATATCTGACATGAAAGATGTGGAGGAAAAGAGAGAAATTAGAAGACTGAGAAATGGCCGGAGAAGAAAGGAGCACAAGGCAAAAAGGGGGCGTCTTCAGTTGCAGGGAAGTTGGGTGAGGAAACCCAGGGAAGCCACTGGGCAGGTGGCCAGCCCATCGAGTATTCACTCTGGCCTTCCCAAACCTCTGGAGGAAGGAGGGGATCCCCGCCGCTGGGCGTGGGCATTACCGGCCTTGCCACGCTGGACTTCTCCCCAGCGGGTCCACCAACCTGCATGCGACACATTGACACACACGTACCTGTCCTGGAGCCTGACTTCTAATGTCCTTTTCTGAAGGTGAGGATGGGGATAAAAGTGGTCTTACCACAGACTTGCACCCACATATGTAGACACACACACACACACACACACACACACACTCCTGACCTCTGATCTGTTCTAGGCATGAAGGTCACAGAGCTGCCCAATTCTACTTCACCACTCCAGCTGGTGGTTCCAACCTCTGGAAAGTTCCTGATGATGAATTTTTGGCTGCTGTTAGTCTCCTCCTTCCCCACAGCCCCCCAGGCTGAGAAGACCCAGACCTGAGCTCTGCACCTATTCCTGGGCTATTCCCCTCAAGTGTCCTCCCCATGCATTTCACAGGTTCGTGGTGTCTCCTCTACCTCCCCTCTCCTCTAATCTATCTCACTAATTTTACCTTTACGTTCTTGTCTTCCACTTCACTAGAAAGGGGCCTAAAGAAGCATCTAGTCCTCTCTGCCCTCTCGTATTTTGTTGTTGTTGTTGTTGAAGTTGCAGAAACTGAGATCAGAGAGGCAAAGGGATCTGCCCAGGGTCACAGGTCAATTGAAATCAGAACTGAATTCTAGACACTTGAGTCTCGCACAATACAGAATAAGAGTTCCAAGCACAGACAGGGGCTAAAGACAGACTTCCCTGGTCCTGCCACTTAACTAGCTGCTTGACCTTGGCCAAGTCGGTTCACCTTTCTATGCCTCATTTTCCTCACCTGAGAATGACAATAAGGCTATCTATCTCATAGGGCTGTGGTAAGGGTAACATAGCTCAGTATTCATCAGGTACTTAGCACAGAGTCCGGCACATTCTGTAAGAAGTGTTTGCCATGACTGTTTCTACTATGCCCTGGTCTGAGCCTCTTCCGGCTTTTTCAAAACACCTTCCTTCTGCTTCCTTAATTCTCATTCCTCTGAACATTCCTCTCATTTCCCTTTCTTCAGTCCCTGTCCCTGTCTCTCTCAGGAGGGCAGGATAGGGATTTGGGAAAAAGAAAGATGGAGTGACCACAGAGACTGGCACATGCATGGAAGCCAGTCAGTGCCTTCCATGGTAACGCACAGCCAGCCCACATGCTGGTGTAAGGATCACATACATCCACACCGTGTCCGTGACATACAGACTCACTCAACAGGCCCACGTTCAATCAGTCTAGGCCCTCCTGGCTTCAGAAACACCCTGAGCCCTCCTCAGGTGGCACTCAGGCCCATCCCCAGTCCCAGGCAATTCTGTCTGGTGAGATTGTGTCTCTGCAGATCCCAGTTCACACTGAGAATTACCAGCTCCAGGGAAGCCTGAGGTTAGTGGGCACCCTCAGAGGTGTTTTGATCTGGAAACATTAGAGAGATGGAGCCCTACACACACACACACACACGCGCGCGCGCACACACTCATACACACATTCTGACGCATGCATGCACATGGTTGGGGGGGCTTGAGTCTCACAAACTTCTTCCACAATCTCCCATCCATAGTCCGGTGAGGTCGTTAGAGAAAAGACTGATACCCATTTTACAGACAAGGAAGCTGAGGAAGAGTGGTGCTTTGCTCAAAGTAAAAGTAGCAATATGCAAAGCGGAAATGCGAACCTACGGCCTCTGTGTCCCAGCCTTGAATTCTTCTGTTTCGCAGCAGCTGGGAGACCCGCGGGGGTTGGATTCACGCCCCGTTACCCACCCCATAGGGTCGCGCCAAAGCCACGCCTCCAGAGCAGTCCCTGGTGAGACCTGAGAAAGCGGCCACAGCGTGTCTCTTTAATGCGCGCCCCCGTAGGCCCGGCGCGCCCCCGCCACTATAACTGGAGTGCATGGAGCAGCCTGCGTTCAGAGGAAGAAGGGCGGGTGCTGGGCACCCGTTGACCGACTTTTCCAAGTGCGATCAGAGCCCATTCGGCCCACGTCCCGCCCCCATGGACTCTCCCGGGTGCGCCCACACTTGAGGGCCCGACGCCCGCTGGGTTCCTCGCTGGGTGGCAATCCCCGCCGTCCAGTGACCCCCCGCGGGCTGGGCAGGTCCCCGCACCACTGCCCACAGCTCCGGCCGTCGGGCGAGGGCTCCGCCGCCGCCACGCCTCGCGCTCCGCACCACCCGCTCCATGCTGGTGCACACTTACTCCCCCATGGTGAGTAGTCTCGGGTCCGGGGGCGCGGGGACAGCAGTAAGCCTGAGTGCTGGACCTTTCGAACTCCCGCCTCCAACGAAATCTCGGAGGGACAGGGCCACAGGGACTCCGCCAGCAAAGAGCGGTGAGCGCAGCAGACCGAGTCCCCAGTCCGAGGCTCCTGCGCGCGCGGGACTCTCAGAGATAAACCTTCGGTCCCGGGAAGTGGGTAGGACAGCAGCTGGGCCCTTGTGAGCTGTCCTGGAGGAGGATCCTCTAGGGCTGGACTCCTTTCAGCTGCCGATGGGTCGCCTAACGCTCCCCTCTCCTTCCCCAGGAGCGCCCCGACGGGCTGGGCGCGGCGGCCGCAGGGGCTCGTCTGTCTTCTCTGCCCCCGGCGGCGTACGGGCCGGCGCAGCCGCTCTGCCACACGCCGGCCGCCGCCGCCGCCAACGACTTCCAGCCGCCCTACTTCCCTCCGCCCTACCCGCAGCCGCCACTGCCCTATGGCCAGGCGCCCGACGCCACCACCGCCTTTCCCCACCTGGCCAGCGACCCGTACACCGGTCTGGCGCCCCTGGCACAGCCGCAGCCTCCACAGGCCGCCTGGGCCGCGCCCCGCGCCTCCGCCCGCGCCCACGACGAGCCGCCGGGCTTGCTGGCGCCGCCAGCCCGAGCCCTGGGCCTAGACCCTCGCCGGGACTACGCCGCCGCGGTGCCCCGGCTCCTGCACAGCCTGGCAGACGGCGCGCACAGCCTAGCGGACGCGCCCCTTGGCCTCGCAGGGCTGGCGGCGCCGCCTGGCCTGGAGGACCTGCAGGTGAGGCCGAAACGGTCCGGGATGGGCCAGGACCCACCGCGGTGATTTAGGACTCTGTATGGAGGCAGAATGACGAATACGGGAACCCGACTTTTCTCCCAGCCTGCCACTTCTTCCTCATGGTTCCGATGATGCGTCCCACAGCCTGAGTTAGACGTTGCCTGGCCGTAAAGGTGGCCCAGCACTGAGTCTGTGCGCGGTGCCTGGATGGTAGCAACCCTCCGTGGAGTAAATGGGAAGGGGCTGAACCACTTCTCTCCCTCTTGGCTGGGACACGTAGGGGATCGATGCCCAGTCCCGGGCTGCTGGGGCAGCCTGTGCCTGGAGCGAAGAGAGGCAGAGGAGTTGCCTAAGATTCAAAATTCCCATACGGCACGGTAAGGTACCTTTGGCCCAGATTGGCCGCACAGTTGGTCCTGAGCCTCGGAGAATACTGTTCCCGCCCAGGGGCGCCCCAGGCAACTGACAGCAGTGCGCCTTGGGAGGAGCAGCAGGACAGGAGCCCGGGACGGCAGGGGCCTGGGAAGCGACAGGACACTAGTCCATAAGCGCCCTTACCACTGCGTCTCCTATTTGCAGGCCATGGATGAGTCGGGAATGAGCCTCCTGGACCAGTCCGTGATCAAGAAAGGTAAGGAAAGGCGCGCATCTGCCAGGACGGAGGAGGGTGAGATGGCGCAGGCCCCGGGTGCACAGGCCCCTTTTCTTTCCTCCTGGAGCGTGCCTCCTGTGCGTCACTGGGCCCTGTGGCCAAGGAGCACTCTTCCTGGCCCAGTAAAGGGACAGTGGGGGATGGGGGACCTGGCCAGAGTCTGGGCAGCTGTGCAGGTTGGTAAGTTGACCCCAGAGCCTGCAGCCTGGGGTGGGCCCAGCCCAACAGCGCTCAGCTGGCTTCCAGGGCCAGTCAAGTGTCACAAGGGCCTGGCCTCTCTCTGCTGAAGGGAGGGCGCTCTTGTGGATTAGGAGCTCATTTGCAGAACGAGTTAAACCACTTCCCTGTTTCCTAAGAGGTGAGAATGGGGGTGGTATTCCCAGGACTTTTGTTAAATGATTTCCACATTACAGACCCTACCAGTTGTTAGCCTGGCAAGTGCTTTCTGCTCCTTACTTCCCAACAGGGCCTTGGCGGGTGATGGGGGTGGGGGTGGGGGTGGGAATCTTGTATTCCCCTGAGGAATTTTCTCTCCAAGCAGGAGCCGCTTTCAGCATTTGGGATCAGGGAAGTGAGGATGTTAATAGCGTATGTCAGGCTGTGTGCAGGAGGGCAAGGGCCTGCCTGGTCCTGGGTACCCTATGTGAGTTCAGGTCCTGCACATGTCTGTATACTCCTTTCCTAGGTGTCTTTCTAGTATTTCTTGGTGTATGTGTTTCTATTGCCCTGTGTGATGCATTTCTATTATATTGGTGTACTGTTCTGTGTGTTTGGAGGGGCCTCTATGTGTGTATCAGGGTTTCTGTTGTGTCCCAGAACTTGACCTTTGGTACTGAGGACCTCTCAGCATGTGAGGGTCGCCTCCTGTGTATATTCGGGGGTGTTTGCAACTCTGCACCACTAAGAGCCAGGGGTTTGAGACTTGCCCTCAAGTGGATTTTCCAACTTGATTACCGAGTTCTGGCTCTGCCAGGAAAAGGTGAGAAAGAGACAAAGGATGACAGAGACAGATTCTGAGGGGTCCAGGCCTTGGACTGGCTCCCTAGATCTGAGGCAGGTGTGGGGCAGGAATCCAGAGTCGCAGACAATTCTGAGGCGCCTAGGGCAGGCACTGTTCCCGAGGGATTTGACTTGCGCTGTTTTTCAAGAGTGAATTCAAGCCCGCGCTCTGTTTGCCCTCCACGTGTTCCCAGCAGGCCGGGGGGTGGAGGTGGAGGTGGGGGAGGGGAGCTGGACTTCCAGGAGCTGGGGCTGTGTTACCAGGGGGAGAGTCAGCCGGACCTCCTATAAAGCGTGTAAGGGAAGCTGAAGGGACAGTCCTCCTGGAACTTGGGGGAGGAGGGCTCCAGGTATTGGGGCTGCGTCCCCTGGAGCTGAAGTTTGGGAGGACCCTGGGTGCGTGGCTACCTGAAGTCGGGATGGGAGTGTGAACTCGGGACCCAGCTCTTTGAGGCAGGAGCTGCGTTGTTGGCTTAGTGGACTTTTTTGAACCCCTCGGAAGGAAGAGCTCAGTCAACCCAGAGATACAATCTCCGTGGAGGCCCAGAGGTCCTGACTCTGCGGGAGGGGCTGGGGCACCTAGGCTCACTGACTCTCAGAGGAGGACAGCCCCCTGTATTTTGGGAAGGCGCTTGGGGACCTGTGCCCTGGAGAAGAGTAGAAAGATCAACCGGTGCCCTGAGTATCTTAAACCCCAACACCCAGACCGGAGCAAGGACAGGAGGACTGGCTGTGAGGAGGGACTGGAACTGCCCCAGAGCTGGTTTCTCTCAAGGGTAGTCAGCTTCCGTAAATCCCGGGTCCCAGGTATGCGCCAGAATCCCCGAAGGCGGTCCCAAGCCCACAACGACAGTGGCGAGGACTGCCCCGAGCGCTGCGCTGCCTCCTGGGGCGGGGGCGGCGGGTGGTGTTACAGGGGAGGCAGCTGTGGTTGCGGGTGCAGCGAGGACGTTGCGGGGGGCAGGCGTGCACGCTCGCTGGATCGCAGAGTCTGTGGGTCGGTGGCTGAAGGCGGCAGCAGCCAGGTGGAGCGCTGGTGACCTGAGCTCCACCCCACCCTGGACGTCTGAGAACCGGGCTCCCTGCGGAAAGGAAGTGCCTGTTTTCCACGAGCGGAGAGCTTGGCTTTCTGCTGGCCCAACGGGCCTTTGGTGAAGGACAGAGAGGCAGTGCCGGAGCGTTCGGGCTTTGCAAATGCGGAGGCCGCCCTGGTCCCCGGAGGACCCGACCTAGGGATCTAGGGGTGCGCATGGTGGGCGAAGGAACGGAATCGCTTTGGCTAAGCAGGTGGTCCGACTGGAGCCCTGCTTGCAAGGGGCAATTTTCTCAGGGGTTCTCCGCTGTCACTGCGGAACTCCAGTCACTCTACCAGCTCCTTGGGGGGCGTGAATTAACGCCCTTCTTAGCCCTCGGGCCCTTTCAACGGCATCGCATCCCCTGTCGAGTCCTGATGTCCTCTGGCACTTGCCGGCAGCTGTGGGGGCGTCTTTCCGGCCGGGCCCTGGATTTATGGAAAGTCATTCTTGGCCTGCTGAAGCACCCGATTCCTCCAGCAACTCCCGGCCCTGGCGGAGGGGCGACTGTGTAGAAGGCTGTTGGAGTCCTGGGTGAGAAAGGGAGGCAGAGCTACCCTAGAAGCACTGCGGTCTTCCTCCCGTGGGGTGCCTCCGGGGAGGAGAGCCTGTAAGTTCTGCGGGCCCAGAGCTGTGATGTAAAATCTTGGCTACTCCAGGCACTTGTCCTGGAGGGGAGGGGAGACCGGCAGAGGAGGTGCAGCCCCCAGCCACACCACATACTTTGGGTTGGCAGCAGGTTAGAGGATGTCAGATGGAGCCCAAGTCAACGGGCGGGGAAACGAGGGGAGCCCTCCATTTTCTGCCCACATTTGTCCCCTCCAGTGTTGCAATCTGTCCTAGGGGCACAGAAAGCAGGCTGGGCTAGGGAGGAAGACAGACCTGGACAGGAATATTTTCCAGCTGAGAAAAGCAGTGAGAGGGCCAGGGCAGGCCATGGTGGGAGCTCAGAAGAGGGCCCGGGGGCGCCTGAGGTTGGGAGGCTTCCTGGAGGAGACATTAGGAGGGAGCTCCCTAGGCTCCCAATGGTGTTTGCTGAATGAATGACTGATGGACGTTGAGGTCTGAGTGCATTGGGAGAGGGGGTGTAGGGAAGGCCCAGCTGCCTTCACTGCACTAGGTACAGCATGTGCAAATGCCCTGCCTGTGGAAAAGCCAGACAGGCTAGAGGTTAACCATCTCCATGGGCTTCCGTTTATTCAGTCACAGCTGGAGAGGAGTGGTTTGGGGATGAGAACAGGGCTAGTCTTCCTTCCCTCGGAGGAGAATGGGTTATCTAGTTGGGGCTGGGGAATCCCGCTCTGCTGGGCTCCATTGTCCAATCTCAGGGAGTCTCTGGGGCAGACAAGGGCTGATGTAGATAGTCACCCTCTCCTCCGCTCCCCTTGGCTCTGAGGATGGAAAGGGGAGGTGGGGAGGGGTCTGAGCTTCCAAGTGAACCTCCAGGCAGGGCCGGGCTTAGGGCAAGGCATGCATCGCCGAGGCAAGATGTAGACACATAATGTATTTGAATGCACTATTTTAAAATAAAAATAATTTTTAAAAATCCATGATCAACAAAATATCAACGCGTTACATAAAGACAGGATCTGACCCTGCGCTTGCACATCCCGCCTCACTTGCCTCCCAGACAGGACACTGTCTGCCCCCAAAAGAGACTGACAAACCAGTGCCCACGCAGAGAGTCTGGAGCAAAGCTGAGGGCGGTGTAGGGCAGAGGAGTGAAGGGTAAGCGCTAAACTCTCTGGCAGTCGGTGAGAAGGAGACTTAGCCAGCAGGCCCTACTGCAGGACATGAGGAAGCTCAGGTGGACTGGGAGGAGGGTCTCTATAGGTCCCGTCTGCCTTCCTCTGGTTGTTCCCCCCCCCCTCAGGCTTTGGACAACGGTACTCTAAGTGTGGTCTAAGGAACCACTGCATCAGAATCCGCTGGGAGTACTTGTTAAAAATGCAGCTTCCCGGGGCACCACCCCAAATCTACTGAATGAGAATCCCTGGAATACCCTGGAACGTGGCTTTTTTTTTTTTTTTTACCAATTCATTGAAGTAAAATTTACATACCTAAAATTTATCCACTGTAAGCCTATATAATTTGAAGATTTTTAGTAAATTTATAGCTGTATAATCATCAATACAGTTGTAAATCACATTCAGTTTTAGACATTTCCATCACCCCCCAAAATTCCTTCATTCCCACTTATAATTAACCCCCACTCCCACCCCAAGCTTTAGACAACCACTGATCAGCTTTCTGTCTTTAAATTTGTATGTTTTAGATATGTTATATAAATGGAATATAGAAATATGAGGACCTTTGCTTCTAGCTTCTTTTACTTAGCATAATGTTTTGAGGTTCATCGTATTGTAGTATGTATATATAAATAGTTCTTTTTTAAAAATTACTGAGTAACTACTCAATTGTATGGATGTTAACACGTTTCGTTTAGTCATTCATTACCTGATGAACACTTGGTGTTTCCGCTTTTTGGCTGTTATGAATAATGCTGCTATAATGATTCCCATACATGTCTTTGTGTGGACATATGTTTTCATTGCTCTTAGGTAAATTCCTAGGAGTGGAAATGCTGGATTTTATGGTAAGTTTATGTTTAATTTTTTCAGAAAATACCAAGCTGTTTTCTAAAGTGACTGTTCTATTTTACATTCCCACTAGCAATGTGTAAGGGTTCTAGTTTCTCTGCATCCTCACTTGCACTTGATATTGTCTATCATTTTTATTATAGCCATCCTAGTAGTACCTCAGTATAGTTTCAATTTGCATTTCCTTAATGACTAAAGACATTGAGCACTTTTTCATGTGCTTACGAGCCATTCATACATCATTTCTAGTGAAATGTCTATTCACGTATTTTGACCATTTTCTAATTGGGTTTTTATCTTATCACTGAGCTATACAAGTTCTTTATATATTCTAAACGCACATCCTTTATCAGGTATATGATTTGCCGATATTTTCTTCAAGTGTGTGGTTGTTTTTTAATTTTCTTTATAGTATCTTTTGAGTTGCAAGAATTTGTAATTTGATGAGTCCAATATATCATTATTTTCTTTTATGCATCATGCTTTTGATATTCTATCTAGAACTCTTTGCCCAACCCAAAGTCACAAAGATTTTCCTCCTATGTTTCCTCTGGAGGAAATTTCCATTTTAACCAGCTTTCCGAAATGTTCTTTGGCATGCTCCCCGGATTCGGGGATCAGACCATTTTCTGCCTCCTGGGGAGAGAGAGTGTAGACATGTGTGAGCGCCTCATCGGCCAGGATGCATAACTAGGAGCTCTTGGGTCTGTAGGAGTCTGTGGGAGTGGGAATGGCTTCTGCTTGCGTGACCAAGAACACCGCGAGTAGAACACTTCAGCCTCAGGAGTCACTGTGCTGTGGGAGACCAACACCGGTGTCCCTGCTTTGCAATCCTTGAGGGCTTAATTCCCACCCCTGTGACTGTCCCCTTCCCAGGCTGCCTGCTTCTCTCACCTTGGATTCCATCCCTCTTGCCATTTTTGAGGAAAGAGACTCTGAGGAAAAAGGGAAGGACAAGTAAGGAAAGCAGCAAAGCCTCTCATTCATATACACAAACACATGTCCATCTGTTGTGCACCTACACTCTGCTGTGTCTGTTTCCATAAATCCAAGATACACTATGTTTAAATATATCAACAGGAGCAAAAGCACTTGCAGATATCCATACGCATGCCACATTCAAGAGGGGAGAGACTATGTGTACATAGCTGGGCCTCAGAATTTGTTGAATGAGTAAGCATGCACACGATCTCACCCTCATTGTTCTATCTATGGCAGGGAATATAACTTTGTATACAGTTGTTTTTGAGACACACATGCTCACTATGTCCCTGCGTGCACATGGACAGATAGCCTCGTGCAACCTTGGTCTGTCTCCCCTCTCACAGGGTCTGGCCCTGGGGGGCCGAGGTTTTAACAGAAGTTGGATGAAAGAGGCAGCTGCAAGGGCAGAACAATTTTCTGTTCCTCTTATTACTCCTTATGGCTGAGGTCATGGGAGAAAGGACAGTCTTTTTTAAATTTTTTAAAGATTTTATCTGTTTTTTAGAGAAAGGGGAAGGGAGAGAGAAAGGAAGAGATAAAAGCATTGATTGGTTGCCTCTCGCACACCCCGACCTGGGGACCTGGCCCACAACCCAGGCATGTGTCCTGACCGGGAATCAAACCAGCGACCTTTCCGTTCTCAGGCTGATGCTCAACCCACAGAGCCACACCAGCCAGGGCTTATTTTTAATTTATCAATTTGTCATTTTATTTTTGAAGGTCAAACTTGAGGTATGCTTTACATACGGTACAGTTTATCCTTTTTAGATGTGCATTTCTATCAATTTTGACAAATGTAAACATACGTAGTTGCATAACCATTAAAAGAATTAAGATATAGAATAGTTCCATGACCCTAAAAAGTCCCCTTAAGCCAGAGGGACACAGCTGAAGAGGGAACCCGTGTGCGGGCCTAGGAGACTCGGGGGTGAGAGGCAGGGACGGCTCCTACGCATGCTATTGCATGTCCAGTGCCAGTGTGTCTGCCCAGCCAGGACACCCTTGCTCTCCCCTCTGGGCGAGGGCGGGGGTTGGGGTGCTCTGAGTGAGGCAGGGCAGGGCCACAACAGGATCAGGGCCCCGTCTAATTAGGATTTTGGTATTTTGTCATCATGGACTTTTTCATTAATTTTTATTATTTTAAACTTTGCCTTAAAATACTTTTTATCTTGATTACTGAGACGTGGGGTGCCTCCCTAAGTTTTGCACCCAAGGCGAGTGCCTCACTTGCCTGACCCTCGTTTTGGCCCTGTTCTGGGGACAGGAAGCCAGCGGGGTGGGAGGGTGCGGGGGGGGGGGGGAGGGTGTGTGCGCTGCGCATTCTCTCCAAGCGCCCAGCTCCCGGCTTCGCCCACTCACCCCCCATCCATGACCTTTTGGTCCGTCCCTGGTGCCTGACTGGGGACCCAAGGAGGAAGGGCAGTTTTACCATTAGGTGCTAGCAAAGGAATGGGGCTCCCCCAGCGCCCCTCTTCCAAATCTGGGCCGTGGGCCGTCATCATTCCGTTTCCCATTTCAAGCTTCAGAGGCCCTTGTTTCACTCATTCATTCCACGTTCGCGGACAGCCCCTTGCGCCAAGACTCCGCCCTCCTGGGCGCTCCTAGTTGGTGGGAAGATGGAGCTGGAAGCAGACAGGAAGGTTCAGGGTGTAAGGAGAGGATCAAGGATGAGAGGGAGCAGGGGTGGAGGGCCCAGGAAGCTTCGCACCCGGGATGGTGCCCGAACTGAAGCTGGGGAAGGAGGGGCCCTGCTCACGAACGTGGAGAAGGGCCCCTGAGACAGGGAGCAGTTCCGTGGGACTCCAAACTCTCATGCTCTGGTATCTCCACAACCCAGGTGACGCTTGACATAGGTTCTATTTGGCCTGTGCTAGATTTTTAAGTGTTTGAACCAGTTGCCAATGTTTGAAAACACAGAGATTTCTTTCACATAGAAATCCAGAATCCTGCTCTCAGCAGCAAAACAGAGACAAACAAGCAAGCCAGGACGATGGGCAATGTCGGCATGTCCAACAACGTTGGTACGTCCAGTGTGGTAAGAGCCAAGTAGTGGCAGCCTTATGCCTGGCACTGTTAGTGCCCAGTCTCCCACGTCTTGCTGACTTGTCACCTGTTGTGCTTGCCCCTTTGAAGTCTAGAGCTGTGCTGTCCACGGTGGGAGCCACTAGCCACTCAGGGCTACTGGGCACTTGAAATGATGCTAGTCTGACTTAAGATAGGCTGTAAGTATAAAATACACATTGAATTTTGAAGACTAAGTATAAGAAAAGAATGTAAAATAGCTCAGTAGTAATTTTTAAAATACTGATTATGTTTCCATGATAATACTTTTGATATTCTGGGGTAAATAAAATATGTTAAAATTAACCTTACATGTTTCTTTTTACTTTTTTTAAATGGGGCTGCGAGAAACTGTAAATTTACATACTTGGCTCACAGTACTTCTGTTGGTCAGCGTGGGTTGAGACACTAAAAGATAAATGGAGGGCCGGGCAAGAGGGGCAGGCACCACCAGGCCACGAAGGCGGGTGAAGTAGGCGTGATGATGGTTAAGGACGTGAACCTTGGAGTCCATGATCAGAGCCCATACTCCTTATTGCTGTACCCGAACTTTTCATTTCTTCATTCTGAAATGGAGACAGATAACGTCATCCACTCCACAGGACTATTAACGTAAAGCACTAGGTAGAGAGTCAGTACTCCCCGGAGGGTGGGCGACATCATTTTGCCCAGCTATGGAGCTGGACTTTGTTCCTCGGGGAACTGACCAGGCACTGACCGGCTGCAGGCTGGAGAGGGATGCATGTTTCAGGAAGATCCCTCTGGAGCAGGGCAGGGAGCCCAGAGCAGGGGCTGTGCTGAAATTCAGGCAGGAAGTGGGTGTCTGTGCGTACGCGGACAAGTGGCCGGCACTGGGGAAACGAAGACCACCGGACACGGTGATGGGTGGGATGTGGTGGGAGAGGGCAGTGGGGAGGGCGTCGCCGAGGCTTCTGGCGGGGGGTGGGTGGGAGAGGGGAAAATGCACATCCAAAGAGGGGGACGCTGCAGGGACTCTGCCAGGCCAGGGCCCGGTCACCCTTGTCATGAGGCCCAGCACAGCTCCTGGCATGCAGACGCTCAGCAAGTGTTTGCTGAATGGCTGGAGGGCTAAGAGCGCCGTCTTTGAGACCACAGTCCAGAGCTTGCTGCTGGATCTAAGTCTACCAGCCGAGTGATCTTAGGTGCACGACTTCCCCTCCCTGGGCTTCAGTTTTCTCATCTGTAAAATGGGAATAATAAACACAGCCCCCTCGGGGGTTGTTCTGAGGATTCAGTGAGGTGGTCTGTGTAAACACACAGCACAGTGAGTACCCGGTAGCTGCCGGCCCCAGAACTCCCCACTTGATCCCCTCACCTAGCATGCACATAAGACCCGCCTTCTTTGCCAAGGCTCTCACTTCTTTGAAAGAACATAAGCCCCAGGGGAAGTAAGTGCCTCAATTATTCTCCATTCCCCCTGAAGCTAAGCAGGAAGATGGAGGTTAGACTGCAGGAAGAACTTTCTTTTACAGCCAAGGGTATCCAAGTGTGTTTTAGAAACTCCACTTCTGAGATTCCCTTTCATACCCTTTATAGATATTAACAGATAATTAGGGAGCATTTTGAGGGAGGGCTATAAGATATATTTCTTTATTCCTGCTCTCCTTAAGCATCCCAGAGTGATTTGGCAGGAAGACACCAGAGCTAGAAGCCTAAGGGGCCATAACCTCCCTGTCCCCTTGCTACTTTAGGGGCAGTGAAGACAGGGGATCGCAAGTTCGGGGGGCAGTTGGGGCCCCTTGTGATTGTGCAGATCTGGCTGGGCCTTCCACAGTGACCCAGGGATCCTACCTATAGGTCAGACACCATCCCCTCATTTCCAGCTCCCTCTCTGGTCGCATATGCCAGAACTCCAAGAGTCTGCTGGAACTATTTAAGTTTTAACAGGGATCCAGCCTGGCTTAGTGAAGGGAACACAGGTTGAAGAACCAGACAGCTCTGGGTTCAATTTCCACCACCCATTAGTTGAGTGAACTTGGGTGAGTCATATTAACTCACGTGCCTTAGTTTCTTCCTTCGCAGAACCTTCTGAAAGATGCTGGGACACTTAGAGGGTGGGTGTGTGTGTGTGTGTGCGCGCGCGCCCAGCATGCAACGTGGCACCCAGCACACAGCTGGTGCTTCATCAGAGCGCCCACTCCACAGCTGCCCAGCATCCTGTGGTTCCTGGCTCAGTGCTGTCTCTCTCTCCCTTGCTCTCTCGCTTCTGCTCCACAGTCCCCATCCCCTCCAAAGCCAGCAGCCTCTCCGCTCTCTCACTGGCCAAAGACAGCCTTGTTGGCGGCATCACGAACCCCAGTGAGGTCTTCTGCTCCGTGCCAGGCCGGCTCTCACTGCTCAGCTCGACGTCCAAGTACAAGGTGACAGTGGGGGAGGTCCAGCGGCGACTCTCGCCCCCGGAGTGCCTCAACGCCTCACTCCTGGGTGGTGTCCTTCGCAGGTAGGAAGGCCAGCCCACAACTCTCTGCACAGTGCCTGGGCCAAAGTCCATGGTCCTTTCATACATCCTCAGGGGATCAGAGAGGGGCCTGCCTCACCCCAAGCCCCAGGGCCATCTATGCCTCAGTCTCCCCAAGGGATGGTGCTGCTCTTGGGAGGGCAGGCCCAGGCCCCCAGCAGCACCCGCACATCCGTGGCTTTGGGGTGGGGTGTGGAGGAAGAAGCCTGGCCATGGGCAGGGGTTAGAGGACTCACCCACACGGGGCAGGATGTGCAAGGCTGGGTTTGGGGAAGTGTCGCCTTTACCCCCTTCCTCGAGGAAAGGGACCCTCAGGACCCAAAGCCTGAGGAGCATAGGCCTCTCTGGTGTGTGTGTTTTGGGTGCATAATTATCTTCCACGTGGTGTGTCTGTCTCTCTTTGTGCATATCTTTGTGCCTGCATAGGGTATTAAGTGCTTCGGGACTAAGAGTTTTGGTGTGTCTGAGGATAATGTGTGCACCTGTGTGCATGCGTGAGCATGTGTGTGTGTGTGTGTGTGTGTGTGTGTGTGTGTGGTGTAGGGGATGGCCAAGACGGTATGTTTCCATGGATGTGAGTTTCTTGTGTTACTTTCCGTGGGGTGGATTGACGAGAGCGTGCCCTTTCCTGTGCGTGCGGTTGCACGGACACCTGGGGCTGGACACGTGTGTGTTTGGGTGCCTGTGCCTCTGTGGAGGGGTGGCATTTGTGCAGGTGTGGGGGCATCTCCTTATTCCTGGTCTCTCTGAGCATCAGCGAGGCGCTTATGTGAATTTGTGCGTGTCTACATGTGTCCTGAGATCCTGACTTGGTGTGAACGTTTGTCTGTGTCCCTACATGTCCCTGGGTATCTGAGTCTCCGTGTCTCTGTGTATGTGTCTCTATTGGGATGGGTGATAATTCTTGGCCCTCAGTGTGCGCTCGCCTGTGTATGCGTCTGCAGGTTCCTGTGTGTGTCTGCTTGACCTGGTGTTTCTCTGCATAGAGGCCTGTGTGTCCCTGGGTGGCTGTGCGCGGCCCGGTTGGCATGCTGAGGTGGGGGAAAGGCCTATCCCGCCCCACCTCGGGCTGGCCTGCTATTGGGAGGATTAGGGAGCCAGGAGGGGTTCCTGGGGCTGGATGCGGGGCCCCTGCCCACCATCTTGGCTACAAAGCCTATGAGGTTGGAAAGAGGTGGAGACCAGGCTGAAAGAGGCCCCAGACTGTCCCCAGGGCCAGACCCTGGCCTCAGCAGGGGGTGGCGGAGGCCGCAAGGTCACTCAGCCTCCATGGTCTCCTCTCGTCTTCATAGTGTGTATCTGTGTCTCTCTGTGCACGTGAAGGGCCAAGTCCAAGAATGGAGGCCGGTGCCTGCGGGAACGGCTGGAGAAGATCGGGCTCAACTTGCCAGCTGGGCGTCGCAAGGCCGCCAACGTGACTCTGCTAACTTCGCTGGTGGAGGGTGCGTGCGGCCTGAGGGTGGGCGTTGGTGTGAACAGGAGGGGACCAGTGTCATCCGGCATGTCTGTATGACTGCCTGTAATGCAGGAGGGTGTCTTTAGTCACATGCTTGTTCTCTTTGTCATGTATAAGTGCTGTGTGTGATGTGTGTATATAGTCTCTGTGTGTGCACACACACATGTGAGTGCCCATGCAGTAGAGAACATGTGTGTGCGTGTGTGTACATGTGTGTGTGGTGGGGAGAGTGGCCAGTGTTTGAATGAGGTAATGGAATGAGAGAGTGAGAGTCCTTTCCCTGTAGGTTGGTGACTCTGGGCTCGGTCACCTCGAGCTCAGGCTCCCATCCTGAGCTCAGAGCCCATCCCTGGTGGCCCCAAGGAGGGCAGTGGGATTGAGGCTGGGGCGGGAAATCAGAGGAAGGTATCTACTGAAGCAACATGGGGCAGAAGGGGCCCTGGCCACGGGATCAGAGGCGCAAGGTGGTGCTCTAGGCTCAAAGGTACCCATGGCTGTAATGACAGCTCATCTCTCTGTCTCCCCTCCCCCAAGGAGAGGCCATCCACCTGGCCCGAGACTTCGGCTACATCTGTGAGACTGAGTTCCCAGCCAAGGCAGCTGCCGAGTACCTGTGCCGACAGCACGCTGACCCCGGGGAACTGCACAGCCGCAAGAACATGCTGCTGGCCGCCAAGTGAGTGAGGGTGCAGTGTGGGTGTTTTCGCACACCCTGCGCAGGCTGTCGTGGGTGCCATGGGCAGGCACGGGCAGGGGCAATGCACAGACACAGACACCAGGCGTGGGCACAAGGGGCACTGCACACGGCACACCTAGACTCAGTGCTGTGCATGCTACAGAGCACACCCATGGACATATGTGGACAAACCCAGGTTGTACGAATCAGCAAAAATGGTGTCACAGATGCTTACGTAGCCTGTGCCGCACCCCCACACACTGCCCCATGCCACCACAAGCCCTCGCCCATCATGAGGCTGAGGGTCCATGGTCTGCTCCCTCTCTCGAGCCTTGCCCATCAGCTCTTCTGTTCCAGTGACTTCATGAGGGCGCCAACGCCCACCCAGGCCCCACGTTGATCGCCCCTAGTCCTTACTTCACACTTAGCCCCTCTGCAGCTCCCGTTGGAGCCTCCCTCACCACCGTTCACATGCTGCCCGCTCAACCCTGGCCTCCTTCACTCCAGCGCCCCACTGTTCCCTCCGACTCCCTGCCCAGGCACCGCTCCTCCGCCCAAGAACCTTCAGTGGCTCGCACTGCTACTGCCTTGGTTTTCAAACTAGGTTCTGTGGCGATGCTTCAGGGTCTGTTTAATGAACTGGTATTCCATTAAGATTTTAGTTTGTAGAAAGAATCCCATTGCAAGAAGAGATAGAGTGAGACAAAAAGAGAGAGAAAAAGAGTAAAAAAAATTGAAAACCAGCAATCCACAGGGTGAAGGCCAGACTCCTTTGAGGGCCGCACACTCCAGGCCACGCAAACGTTACCCGCTCCGGGTGACCTTCTTGCTCTCTCCTGCCGTCCCACCCTTGGGCTTGCTCTCCTGTTTGGAGCACCCATCCAGCACCTCCTTCTAATGCAGCCTTTCAAATCGCACCTCCCCCCTCCCCTCTTTGAGTCTTCGTCAAGTGCCCTCGGCAGAAGTGGAAACACAGACTCGAGGGACTTTTGTGACTCCTGGGACCTTGGAGGCTGCTTGTCTTGTGGCTGGAGAAACATACCCAGGGCAAGGCCCACCTCCCTCATTAACCTGCTAACTCTTCAAGCACTTCCTGGGTCCCACTCATGTCTAAGATGCTGACCGTGCTCCATGGTGATACTCAGGTGAGACTTAAGGGATTCTCCTGCCTGAGCCACATCCAAGATACACAAAGAAACAGAAGATGGCCGCACGCGAGAGCTGGATTCAAATCCCAGCTTAGCCACATGGGCAGGTCCTCTAACCTACCTGAAACCAGTTTCCTCATCACACAGTGGGGATGGTAACACTAGTGGAGACTTGCTGTGAGGATTAAGTGAGATGATACACTTGGCACAGCATTTAGGCTTCAATTCGTGTTCAAGCTATTATTTCAGTTATTCAAGGCAGATTCTGGATAGTTCCTTAATAATTTTAAAGACGAAGCTCTGTGAGGCACTGGTCTTAGGGGTGGAGGTCGAGGATTGGGAGAAGGGAGCAAGGAAAATTTCCTGGATAGCATCGTAGAGCTAGACTTTGAATATGGGTAGCATGTCCATAAGAGGAGAGATCCTAGGGTATTGGCACGTGCTGTATACTAGCCATGTGATATGAGAGAAGTCAGCTGATGTCTCTAAACCTTAGTTTCCTTTTCTTGTAAAATCGGCATGATCATCATTTTCAGACTATTGGCATGTTCAACAATCGTAAATAAATATATATATATGAAGTGCCAAGCACATGGTGGGTCCTTCTCTGGGCTCAGACCTTTGACCTCTAACCTCTGACCTTCCTTCCCCCACCAGGCAGATCTGCAAGGAATTTGCGGACTTGATGGCTCAGGACCGCTCACCACTGGGCAACAGCCGCCCAGCACTCATCCTGGACCCCGGAGTGCAGAGTTGCCTGACACACTTTAGCCTCATCACCCATGGCTTCGGCGGGCCAGCCATCTGTGCTGCCCTCACTGCCTTCCAGAACTACTTGCTGGAATCACTCAAGGGGCTGGACAAGATGTTTCTAAGCAGTGCGGGCAGTGGGCATGGCGACACCAAGGCTTTGGAGAAGGATGCCAAGCATCGGAAATAACCACCTCCCCAGCCCCATCCCTAAGGGGCTCCCTTCAGCGAGGTCTTGGCTCCTGGGGTGGGCCTGAAAGGATTAAAAGGTGGGGTTGGAGTCAGGCCAGAAAGAGAACATTCATCCAGAAACCCTGAGTTAGGGGCCTGGGTTGAAAGAGGAGGGGGTGGCTGCTCCGTGGCAGTTTGTTGGTAAGGGCCCAGGTGCCTGCAGTTTCTCACCCTGGATTGCTGAGAAGTGCTTGAACAGGAAACTGGTGTGGAAGAGCCTGGTTCTTGGGGCTGAGCCCTGCCTGTTAGGGTGCTCGGGCAGCGGTGGGTGCTCCTAGGGTCCAAGGCTTTGCTGTTTTTACTGTTTGTAGGAGGGAAACTGTTACCAAACCAGAGGCGCTACTGAGGACTTGACACCCTTTATTCCAGAATTGCTGCTCCTCCCAAAAAAGGGGTGCTGGCAGGAAAACCCAGCTCTTTGGACCTCTCCCATCTTAGTAAGAAGTGGACAGGAGGGGCCCTCAAGGAACAAAGAAGATAAAGCACAAATTGCAGAACTTGAATCCAGGCTGCACCTCACAGTTCTGTCATTGTCTACCCTATTTATTTATGTGTGTTGTAATTAAATTTGAAAGTTTAAAAATGGCCAGCGCAACTTATTTATCCCAACACATTGAGGACTCTAGTTTCACTGTTTTCGGCTCACACACCAAGATGCCCAGCTGGATCAGGAGGCAGAGGGTGTTTTGGCTCACAAAGGGCTACTGGGGGAGGGGGACAGGAGGGAAGAAAGATATGTCAGGGACCCTGAAGTTGTCACTGAGGTTTTGTATTGGCGGTTGTTTCCCTTGACCCTGCCGGTCAAGGTACGTCCCTAACTCTCAGAATGCTTTCTCCTTCTCTTACTGCAATAAAACCTTTTCACTGGATGTGAAGCCTTCCCCTGTCCTTCTTCAGCCCAGGCCTGAATTTGCCTCCCAAGAGGCCCTAGGGCTGAGGAAAAGGGGTTGCAGTGGGAAGGGACCTCTAAGGGGGAGGCATAGGAGGGGGCTGTGGACACCTGTGTCAGATGGGGCACGGGTGGCGGGTCTATCTGGCTTGTCAGTGTGCTGTGTGTATGGAGTCCTGGGTCTGTATGTATGGTATTGAGACTTGTGAATGTGTCAGTCATAGGTGGTGGGTTCGTGTGTGTCCAAGTGAATGCTGGTGACTGGGTGTGTATGTGTTTTAAGCAAATACTAGTCCAGCTCCCCTGCCTTCCTGAGGATTGCAGTCTTCAGGGGTCTTTCCATTTCTGCATCATCAGTCTCTCCCTTTCTTACTGAGTAATTTACTAAATCATTCCGCAAAGCACACATGCTCTAGGACCTCTTACCTTACAAAACATAAATCCTTTCCCCATATATTTCCCTTGCAGTAAAGTTTGTGAAAGATTGTTACCCTAACCCCACTTACTTGCCCCCAATCACCCTTCAGCCTACTTCAATCTGGCTTCTAACCCCACCAGTCTGTGGGCCATCGAGGGCCAGAATGTCAAGTCCAAAGGCCCTTTTTCTGGCCTTAGCAGCCTTTAGCCTATTTTTTAAAAAGATTTTATTTATTTTTAGAGAGAAGAGAAAGGAGAAAGAGAGGGAGAGAAACATCGATCAGTTGCCTCTCATATGAGCCCAAACGGAACCTGCCACCCAGATATGTGCCCTGACCGGGAATTGAACCAGCTAACTTTTGCTTTGCTGGACAACACCCAATCAAATGAGCCACATGGGGCAGGGCAGCATTTGACATATTTGATCACTTGCTCTTTTCTGAAACTCTCTTTCTGGCTCCTGACTTCTCCAGGCTTCCTGATCTCGCTGGTTCCAAGTTTGGCTCCATCTCTACTTGGCCTCTGATGTCGGCCTTCCTTGGGGCCTTCTCCCTGAACCCCAGGTTTGGATGCACAGCTGTCTGCCTGATGTCTCTTCTGGATTGTCTAACAGACGCCTCACACTTAGGTCCGAAACGGAGTACTTGACTCAAGTACTCAAACCGTGACCTCCTCTGCACTTACCCTCTCAGTAGAAAGCACCACTCTGGACCCAGCTACTGAAGCCAGAAACTGGGGAGTCATTTTTGATTCTTTTCCTACACCCTATCCATCGGTCTATCCTCTTTTATCTCCTCTGCCACTGCCCTAGTCATCTGGGCCACTGCAGGTCTTCCAACTTCTCTCCCTGCTTTCAGTGGTACACGTTCCTACTGAAGCCCTGCAAGGGTCTACTTTGCCTACTTCTTCATCCTTACCGTAAACTAGTCCCTTTCTTGCTCTATGCTCCAGCCACACTGGTTTCCTTTCTGTTCCTCACATTACCACTGTTTTATGTCTCAAGACCATTGCACTCACTGTATTCTTTACCAAAAATGCTTTCCCCCCAGTTCTTGGCAGGTGTGTTATCAGAGACAGATGTTGAATGTTCAGCGCAAGTGAAGTGAACATGGGGTCTAAGCATCATCTTCTGGGGTAAAGGGGCAAAGATGTGATTTCTCTTCTCAAAACACTTCACTGCCTCAGCCCACCCACATGGAAGGAAAAATGGAGGAAAGCCTGGACGTATGCTCTGCTTTAAAAGCCCTGGGCCTGGCAAGATAGGACATACAACTACTAAAATTATCTTAGACTATGGGAAGTTGAGGGGATTAAATGAGATAACAGATGTGAAGCACTTAAAACAATGCCCAGCACATAGTAACAAATAAATAAAAGGTTGTAAGTATCTCTACAGTGAACAAAGAAGAACAAACTTATCAGGAGCTTCTCAGTGCTGGACAACATTCCCTATGAACCATGTAGTCCTCACCAAGTTCTATTTTAGAGAGAAGGATATGATAGCTCAGAGCAACTTGCCCAAAGTCACAGTGTTAAGTGGAACTCACATGGATCCTTCTGATTAACCCAGATCCCTCTGGCCCGTGACCATCCTTTCAATTCCATTGAGCCCCAAGGCCCCCTGCAGAGGCTCAGAGGCCAAAGCCCACCCTGTCAGGTCCCAAGGCTCTGCTCCTCCAGTATAAGGTCAAGGTCATGCAGACTCAGCAATACAATGTGGAGACTCTAACTGGCATCAGAAACTTCTAATGAGGTCTCAGCATTTGGTTCTTTCCAGTTAAAGTTTTTATTTTTTAAATCCCCATAGCAAAATAGTGTTTTAGCATTTAACTAGGTTTAGTCCTGAGGAAATATTGATGATGATTAAAGAAAAAGTATATACAGATGGTTTTACATGGCTTCCTTTTTGCAAAACAAGTAGCTGTGAATTAAATGGAGAATACTTAGACTGGGTAAGCATCGTGATTTTTGGAGTTTATACTCATTTAAAGAAAAAGACTTTCCTGTTTTCTTTTAAAGGATCATAGTGCTTCAGGAGGAAAAAGGTAAGGGCAGCCACTGAAAGCCATACACACCTCCCCGAAACCTCGTGAAGGTGAGTGAGGCTGAGATGCAGGCTCTTATCCTCCTAAACACATACTTGTAACTCACACACAGGACCTAAGCGAGCAGCAGACATCTAGAGAGGATCCCTACATGTCCCCCCTTCTCCTTTTGGGGCACAGCTGCTCCCCTAGACAAAGAGACAGGCAGCGAAAGGACTCTGGGCTCTAAGCACTAATCAGGATTCAGGCGGAGCAGGCTCAGCCACTGCTGCTCAGCTGGCAACAGCACTCAAGCTATTTCAGCGCCCTCTTCCACCGCACTCAGAAGTTCCACGTCAGCCTCCCCAACCTATTCCCTCTCACCCCCAGGCTGGGAGGATAAATGGCTTTCTGTGTATTAATAACCTGAAAGCAGATGGGAACCAACTGAAAGACTTTCTGCGTTGCCAGGAGTGTTAGAGAATCAGTACATTCCCAGTGTTTTTCAAACTCCAGGCAATCGATTTAGATCATAGCTGGCATTAAACAAATAAAATTTGGTAGAAGAAAACAGATTACAAAATATCATTGTACTGCGTCATAACTCAATCACATACGTATGCATATCTGGAAGCCAAGTCCAAGAAGCAATGCTTACCCTCCTGACAGTAGGTATATCGGAATGAAGTCATAAAGGCTTGCTGAGGCCATAAAATCCAGTTGGATCAAGAGTTTCATAAGGTGTAGAAGAGGGAAAAAATGGAAGGTTGGAGAGAACTAAGAAATGCCTAGCATGTCAAACCAAAGAATTGGGCTTTCTTCTATCAGCAATAGAAATATCAGAAAGTTTTAAGTGAGGAGAGTTTTAAGGACAATAGAACTTGTTAGAGTACAGAGAGAAAGAACAAGGAAGATACTAAAAGCAGAGAAATTAGGAGGCCATTAAAATAGTCCAAGAAATGATAGGAAATAAATCAGAATAATGAGAATGACAATTTTTTATTAAAAGGGATTTAGGAAGTTAAACTGCTGGAACTTGGCGACTGCGTGAAGGTAGGAGGAAAAGAAGGGACATCAAAAATGATGTCCAGCGAAAGGCAATGTGGTACCCTCGACTATCCTAGCACAGAAAAAGGACATTAGTGGGAAAGCTAGTGAAATCTGAATTAAAGCTGGAATTTAGTTAATATTATTGTACCAATCAATGTTGGTTTCTTAGTTTTGACAAATGTACTGTGGCTGTGTAAGATGTTAACATAAAGGGAAACTGAGCGAGGGGTGTAAGGAAACTCGATTATTTTTGCAACTTTCTTATAAAATCAGATTTACTCCAAAACAAGTTTATTGAAAATAACTGATGTCTAGGTTTCTGGCTTGGGCACGTGAGAGCTGGTGGCTCTGCTTGTCTGAGGGGGAATGCTGTCCAGGAGGTGGGGAGAGGGGCAGATGGTAACACTCAGCTTTAGACGCGTCGAGTATGTCCCGGTGGCTGGAGGGTTAGGATACTTAGGGTAAGTTGATCTGGAGCTCACAAGGAGATCCGGATTGAAGAGACTGGCAGTCAGGGGGGCTGGTGGGCGGCCCCAGATTGCCCTGGGGACACATTTGAAGGCAGAGAACCATTTCACT